GGATGGTGATGATGACAGAAGAGATGCAGCCAGAGGGAGTCCATCCCCAGGGGCAGGAAGTTGACCTTGCACTTGTCACTGCAAGTCCATTGTCCATGTTCAGTTAAAAGGCAAAATGAGTACTGAGATTCACTGCACTAGTGAATAAGTTGGAGACGAGACAAGCCCGAGATGACCCAGATGAGAGGTGTGAAGAAAGACCTCCAAAATCCCATGTTAGGGAAAGAATGGCCAGGGGACCAACCAGCTTCCACCCAGCTTTCCAAAAGCTTGTTCCTTCTTGTAGCAGGGTTGCTTCCTTTGCTGAAAGCAGAAGAAGGGACCTCTCCATCCAGATTATGCCACCCCAGCCAGTGGGTGGTCAGAATGAAGAGGTTTTGCTCTTAGGACTCAGAAGGAAACAGGCAAACCCTTTTTTCCTCTGTTGTTTCCGAGGCTTTTAGGCCAATGGCCCCAGAACACCAGCCAACAATCAGGTGACTCATAGCGAAGGAAAAGCAGCCATAACCTGTGGCCAAGAGCATGCCATCAGATGGGTGTACTGTGAATCTGCAGAATTCTCCCCAATTCAAAGAGTCTCAAGATCTCAGAATTCAGCCAGCTGGTCCCTACTCCCAGGCCTGGTCTCTAACTGGGCCTGAGGCATTGGTGGCTCCAAGCTTCAGAGTCAGTTTTCAAACTCACAGCTGTTACAACGAATGGTGGTACCCAGAAGATAAACAGCATGCCGTATTTTGAAGGCAGCTTGACTGCTAATTTGAAGGGGAAGAAAGAGGTGTCATAGTGAGACAGCTTCTCCCAGTTACACTTGGATGGTGCACCTGCCTTGCACAGAGTCACCAATTCACTCATTATGGAACATCAACAAATCAGGCGTCAGCTCTCCAGGGTGGGCACCAGGGCTTGTCCAAATACTCTCCGTCCTTTCCCTGGGAGCCAGGTGGCAGCCACATGGCCTGACTTCTGGACCTAATTCTAAGCCTTGACTGCACAATACAATCCCCAGAAAAGCTTTGTAAAATGCCCATGCCCACCAAAGACTCTGGTTTAATCAGCTTGGGGGGAGGGGCTGTGAGAATTCTTAGAAATCTCCTGGTGATTCTAAGGTGCAGGCAGGGTTGAGAATGGCTGCTCTAGGCCAGTGGGTCTCACGTATTTGGTCTGAGAACTCTGAAGAACCTAAACATTCTCAAAGTTATTGAGGACTCTAAGTGCTTTTGTTTGGGTGGGTCATTAGAAAGCAAAAGCAAGAACATTTTTAAGTATTCACTTAATAATCTATTTAAAAAGAACAGTAAGCCTATTATATACTAACATATCTAAAATGTTTTTATGAAAAAATAACAATATGTTCAAAAACTTAGTGACGAGAGTGGTGTCATTGTATATCTTTGCAAGCATCTTTTGTGATTGGCTTAATAAAAGGCAGCTGGATTCCCATAGCTGCTTCCACATTCTGTCTGTTGCAATATGTTGTTTTTGCTCAAGTCTACGAAGAAAATCGAATCTCACACGGATACGTAGTTGGAAAAGGGAGGTGTCTGTTACTAGCCCTTTCAGAAAATCGTGGATATCCTTCTTTGATACTACACCAAAACGCAGTAACTGGTAGTTTCTTAAAGGTTAGTTGCAACGTGCAATCTGAAAATCTATGAACTTTCCTGTTCTGAAACATTAAAATGCATGGGGTTATCTTGTTATTTGAATGAATCTTTTACCTTTGCACGATTTTGTAACAACAAGCATTGGTCAGTGAAACATCAGCTCAATGAGATATGCAGGTCTTCCAATGTTGACATGATTCCTTACACAATATTAAAAAAAATCACATTCACTAGGATCTCTTTAAGTATTGGAAAGCTGTCAAGCTCACGGTGGCTGATACCAGTTTTTCAAAATTCTTGAACGCTTGAATTTTATCATTGGCAACAAATGCTATCAGTTATTTTCCTGGAAGTGACGGGATTCATTTGTTCACTTTCCAGAAAATGTCTGCCAAATAGTCAAGTTTGAAGAACCATAGTTTGTCTGTCAGTTGTTCTTTCAAGTACAAATGGTGCTCCATGGAGAAAGCAGCCGGTCTAGCCCACGAGGCCTGAGACGCACAGGTGCTGTCCTCGAGGGAGCTGTTGGCTTCAACAGGGGGCAGAACTGCTTTGGGTGTGCCATTTCGTTGCACGGAGTATTTAAAAGGTTTGTGCTCAAATATTGAGATTTAATAAAATTAATAACTATCACTGCTTCATCAAGTACATTCCTTTTTTTTCAAATTCAGAATCTCTAATATTATATTTAATAATACACGAGTATTCATATTTATGTATGTATGTAAGTACGTATGTATATATTTATTTTCAATAGTGGTAAAATGCACATAACACAAAATTTACCATTTTAACCATTTATAAGTGTGCAGTTCAGCGGCATTAAGTGCATTCACATTGTTGTGCAGCTATCACACCATCCATCTCCAGAACTCCGTAAACACTAACTCCCCATTTCCCCCAACCCTCAGCCCCTGGCAATCATTCTACTTTCTGTTTCTACCTATTTGACTATTCTGAGTGCTTCACATAAGTGGAATCATACAGCGCGTCTTGTTTATGACTGACATTTTACTTGACATACTGTCTCCAAGGTTCACCCATGTTGCAGCATGTGGCAGAATCTCCTTCCTTGGGAAGGCTGAATCATATTCCAGGCGCACGCGCAGACCACGTGAAGCGCGCTCTTAAGTGAGCGGCGTCTGCTCTTCCTGCGCATGCGCGGCAGTGAGGGCCACCGTGCGCGCTGGTCCAGCTGGAGCTGCTCCCGCTTGGTGCTAGGGCGCCAGCAATGCTCCCCGCCATAGGCACGAAATGAAAAGGCAAACGATGTCTCAGTATTGTTATGAAGATCACTGTGGCCTCTCAGACCCCTGAGAGAGTCTAGCAGATTTATAACTTGGGCTCTATGCCGAAATTTCCGTTTGTTTCCTGATTTTAACGTGCGTATTGGAGACTTTGAGGCGATACAGTAAAGTAGAAAGTTCTGAACAGAAAGAGAAAAGAAAAAAGGAAACAGGGTTGTAGTTCCATAGCCCAGAGGCATCTACCGTCCGCCTGTCCGCTGCTGTATTTTCTCTCAGAGGCCATGTTCCTGAACTGTTCTGTCTTTAGGATGCTAGAAAGCAGGGTGTGGGCTAAAGATACTTGGCAGGACAAGTATTTTTATTCTCTCTACAAGCTCCGTGAAAACAGGAGACAGTTAAATTCAGGACTAAGCCAGCACTTTGAAATGTGAATTTAATAAATTGTGTAGAAGTAGTTAGAGAGTGTTTATCTTTTCATTGCTTGCTCCCTGCTGTCTCGGTCTGCGGAGTGTGCGAGTCCCTGACTCCTGGTCTTCAAAGGCCTTGTGTTGAACGTGTGGGTAATGCTGGCCCCGCACCGGCTGGGGGAGGAGTAGCTGAGCAACCCCTACTTAGTGCCGGGCATGGGGTTGGCATCGAGTCGGGGCTCACTACCTGTTAGTTCTCCTTTGATAAATACTAGTGTAAATAACAACAAGAATTATAATATTCTTGTCCACTTTATCTCATCCATCTCTCATTATCTTAAGGTGGCGTAAGAGGCTGGCTCCACCATCCCCACTTATCAGATGAGGAAGTGGAGAGTCACCAACCCTGAGTCACCTCCCACAGCTGCACGATGGACCTAGGAAGGACTCAGATACAGGACCCAGGGCTGCCAGCTCTGCCAGGAAGAGGACCTGAAACGGTCCCCGCACATCTTTCTCTAGCGTTGTCACATCCCTGCCACACTCATTCTGCTGTCTACTTAATAGTTCTCCTTTAAAATGACTCACTTCTTAAAAAAATTAGTTTTTAAAAGGAAAGTTATATGACTAGCATAAAAGTAAAATGAGCATTACTTGCCACAGAGAAATGGTAACAATGAAATTAAACATATAGCTGTTTCAGTAAAGGATGTTCTCCACATCACTTAAAATCACCCAGTGACCGCCAGGAGCATGCATGCCCCCTTTGGGCTCCTGGTTCTAGGGGACCATGAGGCTTTGAGGAGCTGTGAATCGGTGCTCAAAACATCTGCAGCCGTGGCAGCAGCTGAGGACTTTTACGAATCGGATACACAACTCAGGATGTGGCGTCATTTGTGTTCCAGCAATCTAAACCCCACTCCATCTGAGCCGTCAAGACACACAAATGTTTACAGGCGTCAGCGCCGGGCGTAGCAGGGCCCTGCATCAGGCCGGGTGAGGCGCACAGAATGGCATTAACCGAGATGATCTCGAAGTGGAACCTGAGCCACAGAGCTCAGAGCCAAGATGGAGAGGTGAGAATGAGGATGTAGCTCGGAAGCCAGGAGGAGGGCTCGTGGTAATCCGTGCAATGGAAGCTTGAGTGGTCTCCCCGCTTGCTCGTCAGGAAGGTAGCCCTCACTGGGTGGGCTCCAGAGCTGAGTGTGGGTCTCCTGTCCCATGAGCCACTGTTGGACAAGGACTACACATTCTTCAGCAGCACCTGAGGGCCAGCAGGACCCCAGCGCCCCTTGCACATAATAGCTGGTGCATAAAGGCTAAAGTAATTGAATTTGGCCTTAGAGGCTGTGCTGCCTTAACCTGGAGAGCAGCCCCGGGCCCCCAGCCATGCAAGAAAGGAGCAGGGACTCATCTCTTTGAGGAGCTCAATCTTGGTGGGGCAGGAGGACTGATTTTGACAGGAATAAGACAACAGTGACACAAGGAGCGTTCACCTGTGTTCCCACCGCACCTGCTCCAACAGCCTGACAAAGGAACACTTAATTCTCACACAACAGTAAGCAGATGTTGGCCTCTTAATAAAACACCAATCTTTAAAACCCATCATTCTGGCCAAATGCCATGGCCTTCCCTAATAAACATGGAAGGCTGTGTGGCCGGTTGGATTAATTAATACCCACAGGTTCCTGACCTTTTCCTGGGCACGTGGACAATCGGTCCCCCCAAGACAGATGACCTGCTCGCTTGCCTTCTTCCGTGATGTATGTGTGTCCTTCTTATGCAAGAGACGTGGGACAAGGATCCAGTGCCCAACCAGGCCTGCTTTCTGTTCCAGAATAAAATGAACATAAAAATAAAAATACAGCCCGCCCTTCCTTGGCCTCCCGCATCGCACAACCAGACCCTTATAAGGAAATCAGCATTTGCTCCAACAACTGAGGAAAGCTTGCAGTCTTCTGATAAGGGTGATGCTTCATTTTCTTTTTCTAAAGCAATGACTCCTACCCCCACCCCCGCCCGGGGAGATAGCACCTGCAGTCTTTCTCTTACTTGGTTGGGGCAAAGCGTCGCTGAGCCAGGGTGTTGGCTAGAGGCGGCCTGCCCGCGCCTCTGTGTGTGTGTCAGGACCTAGCAGTGCCTCCAGATGGGGTGTTTGGAGAGGCCTCTATTAGTGGGCAAGCAGGAGAATCCTCAGACTGGGAAAGAGAAACTTCTGGATCTCTCCAGTTCCCAGGTAGCCCACTCTCACCCACAGAGCTACTTCCACACGCACCAGCCATTCGCCAACAGCCAGTCCAGCCCGACAGTGTTCTAAGTGCATGGAGCATGAATGGCCATCCCCAGCATCATGGAGGGTAGCGCAGGGAGTGTGCACGGGCGGAAGCAGGCACTTCGCTTTACTGTATTAGGTTGCATCCACATTCCGAGATCACAGCCTGAGGCCACCAAAGGAAAAAAACAATCATTTGTACCATTCAGAAACATAATAGGAAATGAAACTTGAGAATACATGAAATCAGCTACAGAAACTATAGAAACATACATCCTGGAACTGTTTGACCTGAGGCAGCGTAAACATTGCAATTGTTTGTAGTCAAGGTAGAAAATAAAAATAGAAAAACATATGAACGTCATCTAGTCTAGTGGGCAGCCTCCCACCCCCACTTGGGCCAGCACGGGGAAGTGGTCCAAGTGCAGCCACTGGAGCCTGGTTCCAATCCCCAGAATGTCACCCACCAGCTCCTTGGTGTTGATCAACTAAGTTCAGCTTTTCTGCCTTAGTTTCCTCATCTGTAAAGTGGGTATAATAATAGCATATATCTCATAGGCTGTTGGAAGGATCCCTGGAGCTAAGACTTAACTAGAACCCTGCCTGGCTCCTATTAAGCATCCAACAATCTTTAGCTGCTCCGATTACTGCAGTCAGACTGCTGTGAAATAAACTCTTCATAAATGAGAACAAACATTTCAAAAGAAACATCTGCCTTCACGGGGCAGAGGAGACCCCCTGCCAACTACGACCTCCCCGCCAAGCACCCCCCATTCCAACTGCGCTCCCGGGCCCCCCACTTCCGTGCCCTCTCTGGGAGGTGGATGAAGGCACGGATGGGAACTGGGAGGATGAGGCATTTCCCCCTTCCAACCTGAGGGCTCAGACTAGTCGCCCAACAGTCTCTGGCTTCCTTGTCTGCTCTATCTGCCACCTGGAAGGAGGTAACAGCTGTATGAATACACGTGGTTCTTGAAACCTGACATTCTCAACCTTCAGGCTCCAGGGTCACAGTCAGGACACCTGGAGTGGGGCCAAGGAATGTGTGTGTTTTAGAACTAAGGTCTTCCCAGTGATGCTGATCGTCTTCCTGACTCAGGACCCTGGTTTAGGACGCCTTAACCCAGAGGAGTGACTGTGACGGCCGTAAAGACAACCACGGCCAGCCTCCTCTCATGCCTGTCAGCTCCTCCCCACGCAGTCTGGCTGTCCACCACACAGCTACCCACCCGTGGACTCCCAGTCCTCTACACAGAGACTTCCAGGACCGGGTTGTCATCCCCAGTCTGAAGTTTTACGAGTGCACAAAGATAGCACCATCAGGGAAGTCTAGAAGAGGCCCAGACTTCTTGCTTTCATCAAGCTTTCTTTTGTTCTGGCTTCCAGGAAGCTCAAAAAATAAATAAACAAATAAAACCTGCAACAGTTTAACCTGCATGTTATGTTTGTTTATTCCTTCTACGTGTGAGCACTAGTGTTTCTTTTTTCAAAAGCATTGCTGAAATATTCTATCAAATATGTGGATTTGTCAAAGCTAATTGGCAGAATTCCCTGGTGAGGGTGGGAAAATTCCAGAGCTGCTGAGAAGCAGGGTATAAGAGAGCACACGTCGAATGTGTCCATTAAAGTGCAGGAACGGGCAAGGCTGAGCCATGGCGCCTGCGAGTCAGGAGAGGGACCAGCATGGAAGGGTGCTGGCCACGGAGGCGGTCGAGGTTTCCTCGTGTTCCAGCTCATAATCTGGGTACAGTTACACAGGTGTGTTCCATTTGTTAGCCGGGCCCTTATGATTGGTGCACTTCCACTATGAATATTACACTCCAAAATAAATATCTGTACGTAGGGGCTTACGTCCTGTAGGCAGAAGGAGTGGTGCTGGAATTCAGAGATGCCCACTGGCATTTGTACCTTAGTCAGGACCTGATCTAAATCCTTAATAAAATAAATAATTAGATACCAAGTGTTTTTTCCCTTGGCTTTCACACGATGAAATCACTGTGACTCTCTGAAGGAGGACAGAAAAGTTCCAGGACACAGGAGTCACCCGTGGAGGCAGGCAGTGCCCATTGGCTACCTACCTCTGTCGTCAACTACATCATCATCTGCATAACTGTCTGGTTAATATCCCTCTGTGAGCTCAGTGAAGCCGGGACCGAGTTGTACGCACAATACAGGGACACAGTAGGTGTTCTAAAAATATCTACAGCAAGAATCCATGAATAAGTACATCTTAGTTCAAATGGCTCTTGTAGGTTCTACCCACACCTCATGCTCTTCCCTCTCCCTCCACTCTTCCTGGCTCTCTCTCTCTCTCTCTCTCACACACACACACACACACACACACACTGACAAGGGGGCTGCACCAGCAGCCTCGGGCCACATACATTTCTCCAGAAGGCAATAAGGGATTCTGTGCCTCCTGCTCTCCAGATGTCCTGGCAATAAGAACGGTTGGCAAGTCTCAGGACAGGGAGGGAACCAGCTCCCTGCAGACGATGCTCCCAGCCCTTGCCCAAGGTCTCCTGATCAGATGGCCGTGGCCTTCTGAGTGTCCCTGAAGCCCAGGGGACCTCCCATCCCCCTGTGAGAAGGAGCCCCAGTGGCTCAGATTTCCTGCTTCATAGCCGTGGTTTCGCCTCTCATCTGCATGCCTCTATGGCTCTAGATTTCACCACCAGGCTGGCAGTTTCTCCGCGTCTCCTCTGAAAGCTTCAGGGCTGCGCTTAGCAAAGCCAATGGCAGGGTTGCCCCTCACATCCACGTGAGGGGGGATCTCTGTCCTTTGCTTTGGAATTCCTGCCTCACCCTCATCACCCACAGCTGCTTTGCTGCCGTTCCTGCAGATGTGGGCTCCGCCCCCTTCTCTGTTACTTCCTGCAAGGGGAGCACTCAGCCATGGGTGGAGAGAGAGCCAGGGAGGCAGGGGTCAGCCCAACTCCTGGAAACTGGGGCCAGAAACAGCTCCTGCCCTGGCCGGCAGACCCTTGTGCTTCCTCTTCCCTTTGCAATTTGCCTGTTGCTCCCTGGTCTCCAGGACCCCTCTCAGCCCCCTGAGCACCACTGTGATTGGGTGCTCCACCGAGGGACGGCCAAGTTTATATGCTGTCAGGCACTTTATATGCCCCATAACTCTGCCTCCCAAACCCTCCTGTGCATGTGTTTAATTTTTACAATCAAGAAGACGAATGGGGAGAGTGACAGCCCAGACACCCTGGAGGGGCGGGCCCGGGCCCTGCCTCAGCGGAACCTGGGCATGAATTCCATCAGCGACCTGAGGTTGTATTTTATGCATAACACCCCAGTGGTTTTTACATCTCCTTAAACTTTTGATGGCAGAGATCAAGGAGAAGCAGGAGGCTGTGTAAACACGGGGCCACTATTCGGGCACAGCTGCCACGACCTCCATGGGGTGGGAGTCAGGGCTGCCTTATATCCTCATTTGGGTCTGTTCCCAGCCCTCTTGCCCCTCACGTCCCACGCCCACACACCCCTCCAGCTCCGCCCAGTGGGCACGCCCAGCTCTCCCATGCCCTTCACTTTCCAAAACACACCGTAGGATGACGGCGACAACAACGATGATAAGGAGAAGAAAGGACAAATAAAAAGAAAATATTAACTGAGAATAAATGCATCCTTTCCAAAATGCTGTTTTTTATTGATCATAACTCACAATCTAGTAAAAGCAATGCTTTTGATATGCAAATACAGCTGCTAAGCCCAGTCCCTTAGATGCCACTTCCACCTGCATGGCAGCTCAAAGGCCCTCCTGCAAGGCAATTCTGCAGCCCCTACGCAAGAGCAGTTGTCTAAAACTGCAGATCTGCATGTGCCTCCGCACCATTTCAAACAACGTCTCCCCGTCACCTAGAGCCTATGCTCTGTCTCGTGGTCCCTGCCTACCTACCCGCCTTCTAACAAAACAGCAACAGCAATAAGAGTAATGGCAGCCAATACTCAGTGACTGATTGCTTTGTGTTGCAAACCACATTACGTATCTAACAGGGATTATCCAGTTTTCTCCTCAGTCAGCCCAGTGAGGCAGGTCCTTCTGTTACATTCATTCTAAGAGGCACAGGGAGGAGGACCTTCCTGGCCAGCCCTGTCCTCCAGGAAGCCATCCTGAAGCGCTACCCTAGAGGCCGGGCTGAGTGACCCACTACATGGACGGACCATCCAGCAGGGGTGGAGCGACCTATATACAGCATTCCAGACATGCCTCTTGTGACAGGAGAGAAGTCATAGTTCGGGGTTTGTTTGTCCATTTCCCTCACTGAATCACCTTGAAGACAGACACACCAGCTGATTCGCTGTTTTGCCCCCAGGCCCCAAATAGGACACATAGGAGGCACCCAGTGAGAGCCTTTAGATGGACCCATGTCGGACGTAGCAAACAGGCTCCATTAGCTCAGACGGGCTCTGAGATGTCTCTCCTGGCCCTGTGAGCTCCTGGGCTGTACCCCAGGATGAGGGTAGTCTTCCCTCTTCCCCCTCCTCCCTGCTTCACGAGGTCTTGTTCACACATGCGATCAGGATGCTTCTACCACAACACATCTCTTGAGGACCAGTTGCATTCGTTGGCATCCCCTCGAACTCCTTTGGCTCAGGACTAAATTTTAAAATTGAGTCTGCAGAGGCATAGCCTACTTGGGATCACAGGTTTAACTGCTGCCCCAAATGATAAACATTTTCTTCCCAAATGAGGCGGGGAGGCAGGAGGCGCCTGCAATATCAGTGAGCTTCCCTGGGGGTCCCAGGGCTCCGATGAAGAGAGCAAAGGGACCCAGAGCTGAAGGTGGACTGATGATAATCAATACCATCCAACCTAATTCAGCTCATTTGCCTTGGATTGAATGTGATCTTAATAGACTAGGAGACATCAGCTTCTATTAGAGCCTAGGAAATCATCTTTGAAAACGGCAAAATGGTATCAAATGCATAATTTGAAAAACTTGTTTTCAACCTCTTTCCACTTCGTTTAGCGTTTTGAGGAATTGAGGCTATGTCTTGTAGCTATCAAACTGGATTAAGCACCTTGAGACCTAACAGAAGACAATTGGAACTCTAATTTCAGGTGGCTTTTATTCTTGGAAGATG